AAAAGAAAAGAAAAGAAAAGAAAAGAAAAGAAAAGAAAAGAAAAGAAGAGAAAAGAAGAGAAAAGAAGAGAAAAGAAGAGAAAAAAAGAAAAGAGAAAAAAAGAAAAGAGAAAAGGAAAGAAGACAATAGATCAGAGACTATAGATTCAGATTAATATCGCCTGAAGATTTAGAATAAGTAAATCTTTGTGTATGATTTATTATCTTACAAAAAATATTGGAAGAAAATTTCTTATGAGAACATTTCAATACTAAGTAGACAAATGTCTCTTTAGTTGGTATTGCACATTAGTTTATGTCATGGACGTCCAACCTTTTGGCTTGCCTGGCCATGTGGAGTGAAGAGAAATTATCTTGGGCCTCAAATGAAATACATAATATAGTTAATGTAACATAGCATTGTTTTAAATATCGTTTTTAACATAAAAATAGCAACAAAAACATAAGACTAGTGGGACATCTGACCTTCTTTTCATGAAACTATTTGTTGTGGTTTTATGATTTTTGTTGTCGGTATTCCACATCAGAACATCATGTAAAACAGTAGGGGTTATAGAGTTAATGTTCTGGTTCCGTGGACTGCCTTTTTTGGGCATTTTGGGTTCTCAGAAGGGAGGGGAGGAGTGGCATTCCTGGAGGACTTGGCGGACAGAGGAAGAAAGATGCAGCTTCTGGCAGGACACCAGCCGCTGTCCCTCTCACTGACTTGCTCTCTCTTGGTTTGCCACAGAGAAAAGCACGTGATTCCCTTGCAGTCTACTGGCATAAGACCTCATATTTGGACACTCTTTTCTCTCTCATTTTGTTTGATTTTGTTGGATTTAGTAAATTACCATTCCTTCTCAGATCGTTGCCATCTGGTTTTTTTAAACCCATCTGCTATCTCCCTACCCTTCCCCCTCTCCCCCTCTCCCCCTCTCTGGAGCACATGGTCCACAAGTGCCTTGCCTCATTAGTCACAGGGTGGGGCTGACTGCCGCTGCAGAAGGTGGGGTAATTTTATTTTCCCTCTCTCTCTTTTGTCTCCTTCAGTGCTTGTGCCCCTGTCACAAACTCAGATCTAGAGATAACTCCATGACCATTATTGGTGGAGAATGCGGGCAGAAGCTATGAAACTCTACTTCATTTTAAGAGCATTGTATAGAGGGCTAAGGACCATTATGTTCCTTGGAACATACTAGTTTCTTTTTAAGTTCATCATGTTCAGTGTCAGAGTTGCATATATGTATAACCAATTAAGGGCACTGATGGAGATACCTGCCTGGTTCCTATACATCCCAGCTAATTTAACAGACAGTATGATGTTTGGACTGGTTTCCAGGTGCTTTTCTCAGTTCCTAATGCATGTTTAGGATGCTGGCTTAGGGACTGTGTTATCAGTCTCTCTGAATATATTCTCTGCAATAGTATTTTACATTATGTGGAGGATGCTTTTCCCTAAACCAGAGGATGTTAAGTGGTAGGGAATATGGTTTTAGGAAAGAGATTAGAAGCGTCGGGACCCCCAGTATCATGGGATTTCACTCTTGAACACCTGTGGAATCCTGAGAAACTAAGTGAGTATTTGAGTAAGGTGTGGTGCAGCTCAGAAAGATCTGAGGAGGAACAGCTTATCTGGGGCTTGGCTGACTGAACTTTATATAATACTATTCTGGGGAGAGAGCGTTTCCAAATTGAAATCCGAAACAAAGGGGAAAACCTCCAAGTCAAACTTGAATGATCACAGGAAGCACCAGTATCAATGTCAGTTGCCCCTGTGGAGGGGCAGAAATGCAAACAGATGTCCTTGCATCTAGAATGGAAAGAAGAAGAAGCAGAAGAAGTAGAGGAAAATCCAGGTGAGGTGCCCCCCCCAAAACCACCATCACCACAAAGGCAACTGAGAAAAGTAAGAGACATGGAGAGGAGAGTGATGAGGAGGGAGTTACTGTTACCACTGTTTGTCGACCCCTGAAAATGTCTGAAATCCATGGCACAAAAAAGGAGTTTATACAGCATCCGAATGAAACTACTGACACCTGGTTTCTTCAGTGTTGGGACAAAGGGGCCAGTAACGTGTCCATAAATAGTAATGAAGCTCGCCAACTAGGAGGCATTGCCAGAGACAGAGGGATTGCTATTGACAGAAGGATTAATAGATATCTGAATGGAGTCGCCACCCTTTGGGAATGAATGTTATTAGCTGTGAAGGAAAGATACAATCAAAGACAATCTGGAGCGTTGAGATGAGAAAGTGGAACACTGTTGAGTAAGGTATCCAATATTTGAGAGAAACAGCCATGGTGGGAATGGTGTATGATCCCACATTTGTTCCTAATGATCCACGCCAGGGCCATAATCCTGAGAGAGGAGGAATTTCCACCTGAAATATGGTAGAAGTTCACAAGAACAGCACTAGAAAGGTAGCCAGGTACACTGGTAGTAACATTCAATAGATACAAGGACCAAAACAGAAGACCCCCAGTTTTTGAACTTATTCTTACACTTCAAAACTTTGAACAAAAACTACCTCCATCCCATGCTTCCATTTCATCCATCTGCCAAGTAACAGAAAGACTAGATAAAGTGGATAAGAGGATAGATAAAATGGATAAGAAACAGGAGAGCATATTGGAGTTGTCCCTAGTGATTGAGCATGGTGAACCGTGGCTGTATCAGAAACACCTGATGAAGACCAGGATGATCAATAGAGTCTGCTGAAAGAGCTGGTTAAACTGACTAAAGCCTCAGCTATCAAAGACAAACGCCCCCCCGTTCAAGCAAAGGACCGCAGTAAATTTTGTATCTCGTGCTGCCCTGTGGAGCTACTTATGTGAGCATGGAGAGGACATGAAGTGGCATCACCAGCCCACTCCTGCATTACGTTCTGGTTCTGTGGACTGCCTTTTTTGGGGCATTTTGGGCTCTCAGAGGGGAGGAGAGGAGGGAATGCATGCAGAGAAAGGAAGATGGAGCTCCTGGAAGGACACCAGCTTCTGTCCTTCTCACTGACTCGCTCTCTCAGTTTACCACAGAGAAAAGCACGTGCTTCCCCTGCAGCCTACTAGTGTAAAACCTTGTATTTTGGATACTCTTTTCTCTCTCATTTTGTTTGATTTTGTTGGATTTAGTAAATTACCATTCCTTCTCAAATTGCTGCCATTGTTTTTTTAGACCCATCTGCTATCTCCCTATCCTTCCACCTCTCCCCTTTCCTGGAGCATTTGGCCCACAAGGCTTTGCCTCATTAGTCACAGGCCAGGGCCAGCCGCACTGTGATAGTGGGGTAGTTTTTTTTCCCCTCTCTCTTTTGTCTCCTTCTGAGCTTGTGCCACTGTCACGGGCTCAGATCTGGAGATAACTCCGTGACACTAATGCATCAGTCTGATTCAGTGGCAGCGGCAGCAATTCTTTGTGAGCTGACAAGGTGTTCACCGGAAATTTTTGGAAAAATTTTACTCTTCTTGTGTTTCGTCCTTGAAAACAGTTGTTCACAAATGTGCATACTGCCAAAAAACACTGATGTGAATAAAGTGTGATTGTGAAGTGATATTTTTCTCTGATAAGAGAGGGCTTATAAAACTCCAGTAGAGAGACACGATGAGATTTTTCTCTGAGTTGAGGTTCTGATTGCAACTCCATACATTCCATTCAAAAATTTGCAGGCAGTGTACTTATGTTGACTAAAAATTGAGTTGCTAATAAACCATAAAAGTGATTTATTTGTTTGTTTGTTTGTTTATTTTTGCAGTCTTGAAACCTGTTTTTAAACTCCTTTATCACATTGGGAAGCATGGATGCATATTTTTTTGCTGTTAACAGGGCTGTGTCAAAATGCATACAGTTACTTGCCATCACTTGAGTTAGCACTGCACTGTGCCCTCCCCATGCCCTGATTTCAGCCCAGGCATTGATGATCATGCACCAGTGTTTGGTGACTTTGAGCACTGGGTGTGTGCCTGGGGATGGCCAGGGCCACTCATTGAGTAGAGTTGCAATCATGATGGAACAGGGCAGTGGGTGGCCACAGGATGGGCTGTGCCAGGCCCCATGTGGACTGTGGACTGTGGGTTGGACATGCCTGCTTTATATAGTTTTATACATCCACTTAAGTTCCATATACAAGTATGAAGCTGCACATTGTCCAGCAGCATACAACAATTTAAAGCTTCAAATATCACAGAATCACAGAATCACAGAATGGCCCTCAAGAATCATGAATCTTCAACCCCCCTGCCACATGCAGGGCCACCAACCTCCACATTTAATACTAGACCGGGCTGCCCAGAGCCCCATCCAACCTGGCCTTGAACATCTCTAGGAATGGGGCATCCACAACCTCTCTGGGCAGCCTGTTCCAGCACTTCACCACTCTCTCTGTAAAGAACTTGTAAATAACTAACTGGTCGTTGATTTCTAGGACAAATTTGTGATAACAGGCTTTTCAGATCAATTCCTGCTTAATTTCATGTAAATTATTGCATAAACAATAAAAAAAGCCCATTTGTTAAACACAGAAGTTTGCATGAGCAGAAACATATACTATCATACTTGAAGCGTAACAATAAGCAGCCTAGTTAATATCTCTGTATCTTGGTTTTACTTTATCTAAAATGCACCTGACCACTCCATGATGTGGACACTGTGAACTTCATTTCTACTTGTAAAGCACTTTGAGGTTCTTGGATGGTGCAAAGTGCAAATATAAGGACAGAGTTCTAACTGTGCTGTTATAAAACCCCATGCATTTTTATAATTTACTGGTCTTTTTGTTGATCTTGCTGTGAAAAAAAACGGATACTAACTTATGTTTTCAGTGCAGTACAGTCTTCAAGTTCACAGAGGACTTAGAGATCAGAGTAGAATGTTGACATATAATGTCATGTATTCAGACAACTTTTTTTTTTCCCTTGCAATGAAAGAAGTAAATACCCTCCACGTGTGCAACTCATTTGAGTGAATGAAACCTGTTCTGACTTCTGAAGCTGTGTTCTAAATTTCACACATTCAATTTCTTCCAGATCACCACAGACCTGAGGCAGCGTTGCACAGACAGCCATACTGGAACATCAGCCTCGGCACCAATGGCTGCAGGCATCATTGCACTGGCACTGGAAGCAAAGTAAGATCTGAGTTATACTCTGAAAAAAATAAAAAAAAATAATAAACATACAGTCTGATCTTTTTCACTCATGGCACCTACATTCAGGGATCTCAAAGTGCTTTAGGAACTCCGATGTGGTAATTCACAGTACCATTCCAGCGGCGGGGAAGATCAGCATGGCAATTTCCTATTCAGGAACAGTAGCATTATGGAAATGATGGCAGACTAAACAGGGTGTTGAAATGGTGTTGAGCACAGATAGCTTCCACTAAGAGATCACAGTGCCTTATGGTTCCCTCATAGTCTTGCCCAGATCCACTGTACCCTCCAGGTCTTCTGTAGTCATTCTGTTCCTCCTTTCAGTGTCTGTTCTTGAATGTCAAGGAGAGAACTGAGAAAGTGTTAAACCACCATGTGTAGAAAATAGCATTGTAGGAAAACCAAAGTTGTCAACTTCTGTGTGCTAAAAGAAAAGCCTGTCTTTTTTGATGAAGTTCTATAGTTGTTAAAATCGTGGATAGTGTAGTTCCACAGTCCTTCTACATTTAGCTCAGAAAACTTTCAATTCATTAGACCTTTTCTCAACTGCAGGCATTTGTTCCTTGTCTTCAGTACATATCTTCAACCTATTTTATAAAAAAGTGGAGTTTGGAGATTTATCAGTCAGAACTGCGTTTCAAAACATCTTGTATTAGTTTGCACCCTGTTATATAATATTTGCAGGCATAAGCTGTAATGTTCCACTCCAAATCTTGTTTGAAATCAACTGGTTCTAAGTGCTAGGAGATTTATTCTATTAGATTATGAAGAAAACCAGTTTCCTTTGAGGGCAGTCCCTTCAAATGAATTAAAAGGTATGCCTACAGTAGTCATTTCAAATTGTGTATAACGCATAGCAGCAGGGTTGTGTTTCTATTTTTAATGTTGCTTTTTTGAAGAAACCATGAGGCAGTACTCAACATAGAATATGTCACTGCTATTGAGTTATAGTCATGAAAATTAAAGTTTGTAATTGAAAACCTGATATAATCTTAAGTAGTGCAGAACTAATATCATTATAATTACATTTTCTTAATTCAGTCATTAGAAACAAAGCTATTTTGAGAAGTTAATAAAATGTTACTATTTCTGAAAAAAGAACGTTCTTCTCAATCTCTTCTTAATCTCAGTTTTAAAACCTTTAAATTTTCTTCAAAACAATCTGCACATGCAGATAAAGATGCACATACAAAAACTTCATTCTGATGAAAGTTATTAATTACTTCTTAATGAATTAGCATATCATGTAATTCACAGTTTGCATTTTTTATAATATTTTTGAGTTCATTTCTGACAGATCATTGCAATTAAAGGTCATAGGCAATTATATCACATAATACCTACAATTGAGCTATTGTTGTTTGTGGTGTCCTATCACAAATTGGAAACTCTTCGCGTTTTATTTTTCTGTGTACCTTGGTGATAATATGACCAAGGGAAATTCATGTTAGTGCCTTCAGACTAGTGTGTTTTGACCCAAATTAATAATTTCTGTGACAACAGGTATGTTAGGAAGAAAGGCAAGAGTATATAGTAACTTTATGTGTGGTGAAAACTGAACGTGCCAGCCACTTTTTCTGTATTTGCAGTAATTGTTGTGTAGTGCTAATAAGATCTGAGGAAAAAATAATGTATTGATTTTCTATCTTTTTCGCTTCTGTCCAGTTTCATTATATGGAGGCTTTTCACTTTCTAACTCTTCGCTTGGTTATTTAACTTGACAAAAAGGATTTACACTAATAATAGCATAAATGTAATTTCCTCATTTGTGTTCCATTCACTAACTTTTCTCTCTTAAGAGTACTTTCAACACAAATGGAGCCAAGGGGGAAGCACAGGAGGAAAACTTTTTCCAGCATTCCCTTGCTGTTTTCTCCCATAAAATATTCAGAATCCATGTCTGGGTTTGGAGGAACATTTAATCTTGTGAAATTATTGATTATAATACTTAAATACTGCAAGAAGATCATGTCATAACATATTCAGTTTTAATGTCTGAGAGAGAGGTGTGTATATGAAATCATCTCTGATGATTTTCAATAGTTTCTGAATCACAGGATGCCTTGGGATAAAAGGCATTGAAAAAATCACCCAGTTCCAACCCTATGCCATGGGCAAGGCTGCCCCCCACCAGCTCAGGCTGCCCAGGGCCCCATCCAACCTGGCCTTGAATGCCCTCAGCAATGGAGCATCCACAGCTTCTCTGGGCAGCCTGCACCATGCCTCACCACCCTCTGAGTAAAGAGAGCTTCCACTTAACATCTAACTTAAATCTCCCCTTTTCTACTTTAAAGCCATCCCCACTTCTCCTATCACTATCATACCACGTAAAAAGTTGGTCTGCTTTCTGTTTATAAGCTGTTCAGCACATATTGATGAATGTCAATGGATACAATTTTTTCCACCTGGAGGAATTCAATTCCACACCATTGCTCCATACACACTCTCATGTCAGACCCATTCTGTCAGACTGCCCTTCTGCTGCTATCTGTCACATGGCAGCAACATATAATGGAATACTGGTGGGCAGGTTCAGCCTCTATACGTGATATTGTATCTTAGCAGAAGGACTTACTGGGACTAGTCTGCATTCAGACAAAGTTTGTTGTTGCATAGATTCTTCCTTGAATTCCACATTAGTGCCTGTGTTAAAAGCAGAAGTGTTTATGTGACATATATAAAAAAAGATTAGTTGGAAAGGGGTTTTCCAAGGTTAATTATATTCTTCATACAACAAACTGCATAAAAATTGGAGCACTTAGTTCTGAACGCTTCTCAAATATGTCTATAATAATGTATAGTTTTATTCCATTTTGTGCTGGAAAACACCACAGAATATACTGTGGAAGAGTTTGAAGCCTAAAAAGTTGTTTTCTCCCAGAAGCCAAGTTCTGTTCTTGAGAGACGTCAGGAGTCAACTGGAGTGCTAGTCTGGCCTTTACATGAGATAGAACAGCCAAGTTGCTTCAGCTCACACGCAAAGGTACATTAAAACAGTGGAAAATGAGCAAGGCAGATTTCTCTTGCAAGCTGCCACTTCTTTCTTTGATAAGCCCCATATGGTAAGTAAGATTGGCAAATAGCTCTTACCTGCTTACTGATTTGAATGATCCACTTAGATGGCTTTCCAACTGGAATCTGGTTCCAAGATCCTGACAACAAAGAATTTTGTGAGGCTTGCCCATTGACTGCCCCAATTTAAAATATGAAAATGATGTGAACACATCATTCTTATGAGTTGTAGTTTCAGTCCAGTATATGAATACCAACTGGCAAATTTGCCTTCCGGAGCCTAAGACTGGTAACTGAGTTTGGGAGTGTTTTTTTGGAATTCTCATGGGAAATCATGACACACAGAGAAAGCTAACTTTTAGTCTCTGTATTCTGTGATCTTCTTGTAGTTCTCTGTGATTTTCTTATAGCAATCATCTGATTGGTTCCCAGTGCACCTAGTATCCTGTTCAGATTCTATGAATAAATGCTTGGTTTTATTTACTGACATTTCATAGTCAGTATGCAATGCTGAATTTTGCTATTTGTAAATGAGCAGTTAGGGGAGAAAGTGCAATGATCAAATAGTCAACAGCAGTAGCAATCTTATTCCTAAAAATAAACTATTTGTGTTGCATAGTACCATCTACTGTTGATATCAGAAAAATACTCTCACTGATCAAAGGTTTAAATTTGATATTTCAGTGAATCAGCCAGGAGAAACAATATGATGCATTGATTCCAGTGGGCATAGTGCCATGTTCCTATGGAAAAGCCAAATAAAAAAAAATTCTGTTGCTTCTGCATTGCCAAAAAAATACATTATACATCCCTAAGTAAACTGCATGTGCTACTGTTAAAAGCCTCGCATCATTTCCAGTCCATGATGTATAAACCTCAGTTAAGTGAGTAAGAATTAATCTATCATATTTCCACGTTTTGTCAGTGCTGTAGATCTGGAGATTCTGTACCTCCTCTCCTGAGTCTCTTCATGTGCACTGTATTCTCTATTTGTTTTTGGTTATACAAACCCAAGACTAGAACAAGTTAATGCTGGAAAAAGATAAAGAATTTCAGTGAATTCTGATACCACTTATCCATTCAGAATATGGATAATGCACAGTTTTCTTCTAAAAGTTGGGTAAGACTGAGTATAATCGCTGAGATGGGAAGAAAATTGGGCTCACACTGCAGGAGATCGGGAGTGTCAGAGGAAGAGACTTTGGATTTCTGAAAGCTGATCAGATGCTTGCAGTACTTCCCATATTGATGGATTTCATTTCAAATTCAAAGTACTGCTGAGTGACCTCTGTATGCAGGATTCCCATATAAGAGAAGGAGGAGAAGTTATCAATTAAGTGGAGCAGCCTTAGCTCCACTGACTGACTGACTGTTACAAAAGGGGATGTTAGAGTGTCTAAGTAAGAAATCCTTTTGTGAATCTTCACTTTTTTTCAAGTAAACTTAAAGCAGTGCTCTTAATGGTGAAGTATTTGAAAAATGTAAACACAAATACATGCTGAGATCAGAACTTGTATGTGTTTCTCTTGGCTTTAAATACATCTGTCACTTTTGGATTTTTAATTATTATATTGAGATTGAATTGGAGGTACTCCCCTGAGTTCAGGTTGCTCGTGTTTTACTTTTTTAGGTCTTGTTTTCAGTTATATATAATTTTGCCAAAGAATAATCATTTGGTCTGAAATTTTCCATGTAACTTGTTCTAAAAAGGTTTAAGAAAATTCCATCCAGATATTTCTTAAACTGAATCTAGATTTAAAAACAAAATGTTATAATCATTTTTAACCTTTCATTGAGTTTTACTATGTCTGCGCTTTGCAGCAACAGCTAGAAATAGAATGAGTGGTTAGCCATTATTCTGGTGTCAAGGCAATGCCTTTTGCATTTATAAGTTTTTAAAAAATCTCAGTTGGCATGTGCTCTGTTGAGGGTTTTAAGATTTTGGCAGCTCTATTCCCCGAAGTTTCTTGGTTGACTAAGTGTTCCCCAGCCTCAGCTTTTAGTGGCTACTTAAGGCAGTCTCTGAAGTTGCTCTTTGGGTTGCCACTGCCCATCCAGACTCTGACCCTGAGAACAGGGAGCCCTTCTGTTTTTCTCTGCCCATGTTCTTGCAGCAAAAGGAAAATGTGGAAGATGTGAGAACAGCAGATTTGCAGGACTGCAGTTTCTTGGCTGTCTTAAGAGATGCAGTTTTGGTCCTGGAAAGGCATTTTCCCCATACTTCAGCAATTGTACATTGCTTTATACAGAGACTTAATTAATGTGATGTTAGTGCAACCAGTTATTGACGTAGTATTTTCAGTTGCCATTACCTTTTTTTATGACAGTCTCATCTTTAATCAGGCTTGAGTTTGTTCTGGCTTTCTTTCAAAAGGTTTTCATTGAGTAAAATTAAATGATAAGTACCTGATACGGATATTTCTAATATTTCTGGGAACCAGAAAACTACTGTAAGCAGAGAACTAACTCTGCAGCAACCAAATAAAGGAACATTTTGTTTGATGTACTGGTTAAATGAACCATGGTTTACCAGGTCAGATAAAGAAGAAATTAGTAAGATAGAAAAAAACTTATATTTACAAGATACTTGCTGATCAGCAAGCAGATGATATTCTTTGCTTTTCCTGCAAAGAGTTGATGGAATTATTTGCAGAGTTAATGATAATTAGAACTCGTGAGAGTGTCAGACATGCCCAAAGTGTGTATTTTGTGTGTCCGTATATATGCATGACTCAGATGTTAAATACTGAACTCCATTTTTTAACCTCCTGGTTTTTAAGAATTAAATGGTTGTAGTGTACACCATTTAGACATGTAAGCATAGGGTAAATGTCACATTTAGGAGCTGTCTTCATTTCTCACCTGTGTTAAAATTCTGTGTTGCAAGAGATGTCTTCACATTGACTCTTTGTGTGACCTGGAAAAGAGAAATGACTGCCATTACCATACCCAATATTCCCATCCATGGGGTATAAGTAGGAATCATTAGGACAGGTAATACGGTTGTAGATATCATGGGACACTTTGACTGATTTGTAAGTAATGGCATCATGTGAGTAAACCAAGCAACTATTATGTTTTGTTTATAGATTTATCATAACACCCATAAGGCTGGCATTATGCAAATATCCATTAAAAAAATGGTCTCCTAAAGCTGTGCAAGATGTCTAAGACACAGGGACTCCTTTTTAGATACTTCATAGCAGTAATTGTCTGTGTCTGTTCTATCATAGCCAAGATTTCCAAAGCAGATTGTTTGATACTACAAAATGAAATATGATCTTAATTCACCCCATGATACTGTTTTTTCCATGACTCTTTGGGAAAATAAAAGTATTTTTCTAGCAATTTGCATAAGCCTTTACTCTTTTGACAAGAAATACCTTTTTGGATAGGCCACCTTTGTCAAATTGAAATTGCCCTTTATTAAAATAATGCAGCAGTCATTATTCATCTTGGTAACCATAACATTTTTCTAAAAAGGCAAACTGTACTCTATGTGTATTATCACTGTTCTGAATTGTATTTTTTACTAATTGTCCATCTTGCACCAGTTATTTATTCTGAATTGTTATTTTTGGTACTGTTATTATGCAAAAGAATAGAGCCTGAATATTTTATTTTTTTTCAAGATCAGTCCAGTTGTCACTAGGGAGACTACTTGTGGAATGAAGAAATCAGATTTATCCAAAAATGGTGACCTACTATTTCTAAGCAGCTTCAGTAATGATATTTATTCTTGTTTAAAGATACAGTTAAATCTCAAGTGAATATTACTGTAATATAATTTAATATACTTGTTCTCTTTCATCTTTTTCTCATTTGTTTCATAAAGATTTTGAGAAACCTGAAAAAAGAGCGCTGTACCTTAGAGTATAAATAGTCAATTAAGGTCACAACATCTATTTTTTGGCTGCTAGACAAGCATTTTGTATGTAATTGTTCTCACTTCTGCTTATTCTGGTTTGATTTTGAGTATTGTCTGGTATGTGTAATCCCAAGGCAATTTCAGATAAGACATGATTTTTTTTTTCTGGATGGAAATTGCTTGTTTTTGGAAATCAATCCATTATCAAGCAGAGTAAGTACTGTTCTTGTTTGTGTATTTGTTCATTTCAAGATGTTTAGTCTTTAATTCTTGTGAGATAAATCAAGTGGTAAATCAGTTAACATTAGTGACATCTTGTCGAGATCTGAGGCCCACGTGGCTTGCAAGCAAGTGTTTACTCACTTATCTTCAAATTTTGACATGCTTTACAAATATTTAACCAATTCTGTGATTTTTCCAGATGCTTTAAAATTGGCTTCTAGGCTGTCTTCTGTAAAAAAACAAAAGGAAAAAAGTCCTTCTTCTTTCTCCAAATGAACTGTTACTTTAACATCATTCCAATTTCTTTCATCCTTTTTTGTTGAAGTTTCTGAAAAATAAATATATATGGGCAAACAATTGCAGACCTCTTTTTTTTTCAAAAAGACAGACTGATTTCGCGGTATACCTGTGTCCTGGAAATTGGGACTTTGGTAAAAGAAATTTTCTGCCATAGACTGTAACATTAATTATTGCATGTAGATAAAGATGGTAGATATAACAGTTAGTGGCTCGGTTTTTGCAATATGCTATTATTTTTGTTCTAAAAGCAAACCTTAATTTTGAGAGTCTCATTTTCTGATTCAGCAATCAAGCCCAGTTTATGGGAGGCCCGTATCCTCTAGGCAAAGCCTCAAATCCTTTGCCTGAAGATAGATAGAGGCCACTAGTGCCACCATTCCTCTTTGAATAATCAGTTGAGTGTGCCCTGTCTTGAATATCTCATTTTAAAGAAGTGTTTTAGTGCCTTATTTTCCAGTACAGTAGCATGGACAGTTTGCTTCATGGAACAGCAGATTGTTTAGATTCCAGATTATAAAGAATGCAGCTCATGGGATTCCTGGAGGTCTTCCTGAAGTCCTGAAATATGTTTTTCTAAGACTTTACACAGGCTCCCAGTGAAATTCCTGAGCTAGTATAAAGTCATATAGATTTTTTTTCTTGAAGCATGTTACGTGACTGTCCAAGCATACCCTATCTTAGAAACCCTGAATGCTTGTTACATTCCCTGACAATCTTTTTGCATTCATTTTTCCCAGTTCAGCTGAATAAACAACTATGGCCATTCTAGTCCAACTGTCTTGTGTGAGAAATTCCACTTTAAGAAAAAAACTGCATGTATGAGCATAGTAATGCTTTAATAAATGCTAAAGGCCAGAATGCATTAGTTTCACGAGAATACCCTTGTATCTTGTACGAAAAGAAAACAACAAAACAGAAAATAACAGTGAGGAAAAATGAAATCATGATGAAATGGTACAATTTTGAAGAAACTACCAAAAAAAAAATTATATATATATATATATATATATATATATCTTTGCAATCAGCAAAAGATTCTCTTAAAATCATCTTCTTTCTTCAGATTATTTAAAATTATTTTGTTCCTGTTTTTGTTCTTTAGTTTGGAATAAGTCATTGTCTGCCAGCCCAAGGGAAATCTTGGTTCAAGAAATACAGAAGGTGTGTTAAGGAACTGAGGTTTCCCGGGTTTTCAGTGATTGCCTAGTACTTGACATTATAGACAGCCAGTGCTGGGTCTCATTAACATCAATGTGGTTTATCTTCATCATCACACCTGGATTGAGTTGTGCCATTCAATAATGATACTATGACAGCGACCCTTGTGAATCTTGTCTGATGTTTTTCTCTTCATTATTTAGTGAAGTGACTTTGTCCTTTCCTCTACTAAACTGCATTTTTAAATTGAATACTCTTATTATGATTATGAATGATGGAAAAACTGAGAAATTAGAAGAAAAAACTAAGAATAGCACCATGATAGTTGGTGTGATCACCTAAGAAAACAAATTTCCTCGAGATGGATCTAGCCAAACAGCACCGCCTATAGACATCTTCCATTCCTACAAAGTAGATAAATATTAATTTCATAGTGAGGATGCAAGCAATATCTTCTTTCACTGTTGCAGAGGACAGATTATCAGAAATCTACTAAAGGAATACTCCTCTGTGTCATCACACACTTGCTCTATAATTATAAAGAGACTGTGCTGGTTTTTTGGTCTTCTTTGAAGAATGCTCATGGAGTCCCTCTGAATTCCAAGACCAGGAATAACAAACAAATGAAAAACAACAAAACACCTAGAATGGCTTCAGTGGGAGCTGCAAGTTGAAAGGGATTGCCAGCTTTAGCACACAGTTATTAAGATTTATTCAAGCTTTTCAGTGAGCCAACATTTTGTTTCCTTTTTTCCTTTACACTGGTCAAAGCAGATAACAATATACAGTTGTTTGTGGCCACACAAATTAGGTCTGGGTGAAAGGTACTCCTTCATCTCCCCTTAGCAAACACTGAAATTTATACAGTGGAGTATTACACGTCTTTAAAGTCTGCTTGATGCAAATCTTCTAGCTATGTAAATTCTTTCATGTAGTAATTCTGTAAGATGTGGTCATGATGTTTTGAGGTGAGCAAAGTAGAGAAGAGAATAGAAATGAAAGTTGTTTTTAACTTGAATATTTTTTTAGCATACATAACCTTGTATCTCTCCGTTCTAATAAAATATATCTAATCTATGACTTCATGTTACTCCTTTTTTTCTAGTCCATTTCTGACATGGAGAGACATACAACATATTATTGTCAGGACTTCTCGTGCTGGACATCTGAATGCTAATGACTGGAAAACCAATGCAGCTGGTTATAAGGGTGAGAGCTTCCTTTCTTCTTTCGACAATGTCTTATTTTCACATTTTATGAGGAAAAAACAGTCTCAGGTAATTTGTATCACCCTGTGATGTTCATAGTTTGGAGACTTTACAGGCTCATACTTAAGGGCCCTGTCTTCTATAAAGACAAGCTCTTATAATTACTAAAATCAAAAATGGCAGATAAAAAAAAAGCATTGTCCAGATCCTGTTAGTCCCTTTTAGCCCTATTTGGCGCATTGTTGGCAGAAGACTTAGTAACTCTAGTGCTTTTAAATCTCCCTCATTCTGATAAAATAACCTGGAGTTGAAGCTACAGCAGTTTTTGAAGGCTGACCATGGTCTCATTCAGGATTGTTGTCAATTTTCATTTAAAATCACAGAATAATATTTTTATGTTTCATGTATATTTATATATAAAATTTCTGTCTGATTTAGGATAAAATAAAATGTGAAGTATGTTTTAGTATTAGTATGTTTAATGGGAAAGAAATCATGGTCTTCAATTGTACAGTCATAGAATCATAGAATGATTTGGGCTAGAAGGCACCTTACAGTGCCAATCATCTAGTTCTAACCTTCCACTAGATCACATTGCCCAAGGCCCCATCCAACCTAACCTTGAAAGTCTCAGAGATGACACATCTTCACCTTCTCTGGGCAACCAGTATGTAACAATCCTCATAGTGAAGAATTTCTTCCTTAAATTGAATACAGCTTTTGCAGTCTCTTTTCACGGAAAAGGTATTCCTGCCCTCTGATCATGTTTATGCCCCTTCTCTGGACCTGATCTTCCAGGTCCACATCTTTCTTATACTGGGAATTCCAGAGATGATCACAGCAGATGGGGTCTCAAAAGAGCAGAGGTGGAGAAGCACCTCCTGACCACACTTCTTTTGGTGCAGACCAACCAGGATACATTTGGATTTCTAGGTTGTCCCAGAGGTTTCAGAGCTGTCATACCAGTCTGGTAATTCTGTATTATAGTTATGTCTTTTTTGTCGGTTTTATTTTTTCTTCTTTCTTAATGCAAGCAGAAGGAATCATTTGCACCACTAAATAAGATAGATTAAAACTGGACCTTGAGTTCATCCAATGCTATATTCAATAAGGGCTAGTTTCTAACTTTGATTCACTAAATTCGGTCTGTATTGCTTTAAAAAAAACAATAACAAAAACAAAACAACAGAATGGCTTATTTCTCTTTCTCTTCACATAAGAATTCTGCTCGGTATTGAAGTACTTCTTTTAAGATGAGTTTAAGTCTTGAGATTTGAACTATTTTGTGCTAAGATCTCCTGGGAGAACAAAGTAATGAACAAGAACCATCAGATCTTTACCCTGGTTTCTGAAGCCTAGCATTAATCTATTCCAGATCAAGGCACTGCTACAATAGAACATCTTTAATATATCATTCCAACCCATGATACTTCTGCAACTGAATGAAACCAACCAAAAAAATAAATAATAATAATAATAATTAAAACAACAACAACAACATAGCCTTTCACTGTTGGATCCAAATCAGACTAAACACAGAAAATAGATTAAGAAACAAATAGTTGACTCCAACCCCCTCACCATCTGAAGATTATAACACTCAAGAGACTGCTTTTGTCCCATTTACAGCAAGCATGTGCCCACATGAAGAAAAACACGAAGTAAGAAATTTATACCTCTTGAATTGCAATAACGTTACAGTTTTTGTTATTGTGAAACATATCTCAGGACTTAAAAAGTTTTGGCAGAAGACTGTGACTGTATTATCATTTTGTTGGAACTATCTGAAATTCAAACAATGCTTTTCAAGTAGCATAAAACTAAGTGTTTTTTTCCCCCAGCCACTTCCAAAATTCTGTATTTTTATGTTTTTCCAATTGTTGCTTAAGAGAGCCAAACACCGTGTAAGGCATTTCAGAGCAGCTGTCACTCATTAGCAAAGGATAAGTCACACTAACACACCAGCAGTAGCAGCATGGGCAGCAGGATTTGCACTCTTACACCACCAGAGCCACACATTTTTCTATGTGTTGCAATGGATAAACAGTGAGGAAAAGGGCTGAGAAAGTTTTCTTCTCCTCTTTTGCAAAATTAGGAACATACAGATAAGCTCAACTGGGTGACTGGACACAGGAAGTACAACTTGACCTGGCAGAGTTCTGCAGTAGACTCTAGTGGAATTGAAAAAGAGGAAGACAAACTAAGAGCTTCAACCTCTGTAGAGCTCAGGAATCAACTTTAACCCAAATAAAAGCACTAGTTTTAACTAAATTATTTTGGCAACTTAGGCTGAGCAAATGGTTCCAATAAAAATCCAGCTCTCTTTAAACCTCTGTTGGTTTTGGAAGAAGGAGAAGCAAAAGATTTAGATTAAATCTCAACATTCAAACCTGAACTCAAAAGGGGGTTTGCACACCGCTGCTGGCAAGGCTGAAACAATTTTTTACTATTGCACGTGGCAATATTTAGTATAATATTACACTATTATCCTTCACTGTTGCCAAGAGTAACAATTAAAGTATGGTTTTTTGTAGATGAATTACTCTGATCAGACTGAGTTCCTTAAGGAATTGTATCATAATTTTGTTGATGGCAAGATCCGTATTTCTTCCAGAGTATGCTCTTAACAAGGGAAGGGGTGAAAGATTTCTTTCTAAATTAACTACAGCAAAGGCAGTCACAAGAAACAATCTTCCTTTCTTCCATGCATGCTGGGGAAGAAAGAAAAAAATTAGGATAAAAAGAGAGACAGGCTCACTGCTTTAGAAATAAGAGCTGAAAGGGTGAAAAAAACTAAAAACTTGGAAGAACCTCTCACTTAACAAAGGGTCAGCAGTAGCTGGTAGTTGAAAGTGGGTCAGCATGCCTTTTTAGTGGGTTGTTTGGCTGGGCTGCATGGCAACACTGTCCCTCGCTTTAGTCCCTTGCATTTCTCCACTGCACAGAACACACAGAAGGAGTTCACAGATGTCATTATTGGTTGAAAGATTTCCCTTTTTTTTTCTATCTTACATTCATAAAAAGAAAGATTAATTCATGAAAACACTTGAGCCAGCCAGTGATTTGCTAAAGCAATGCCCATCATTTGTTTAATTTTCTGGCAAGTAAACAGCATTCATTAAATGCATGTCAATAGTTAAGCCAGGAAAGGGTAGGAATTTTTTTTTGGAAATTTTTTATTATTGTTTTGCTGCTAGCCAACATGCATCTTATTACCTAGCAGGAACTGATTACCTATCTAGCCTCAAAAAAGAAGTCTTGAATACATATTTTAGAATATTTTCTGGTCTAATCAGCTAAATATATTATTTATCATTAGACGGATATATATTTTTATATAACTAAAGAAGATAATTAACTTAGTATATGGAAAAATACTAGAGAACATCTGTTTTTATGAAGATATCAAAATATTTGGTCTGCTTTTTTCTATGGCAGATCGGTATGCAAAGGCTCCTTGTTATGTCTATTGTTTGATCAACAAGAGAGCATGAGAATGCATTCAGAAAAAGGGAATGCTGTGTTAATGTCAACTTGTCTCTAGGTTGAAAAATGCAGAATAAAACACTGCAATTTTAAGAACAATAATCACATCATCTGAACAATTTTTTATATGTAAGCGAACCTCCAAATACTGTTAAATATTGTCTCTGTGGAAACAGGCCACTTGGAGTGAAGGAATGGTATTAACTCGTAAGGAGATTTTTAGAGAACATCCTTCACGCTTCCTGGCTCTAGAGTGTATATAATAACACGTCAGTGCAGTGAAATAAAATGCAACTGAATGATAAAAGGAAGTAAAAACTTCAGGCCTCTTTTTTTCACTTCAGACCATTTCTCCACCCTGTAGAGTTATTTCTTCTGCAGAAACTAGAGTTATCTCCTGTGCCAGTAGCAGAGTCAAGTCTCACCCATTTAGATTTGAAAAAGTATCTGCTGCTTCAGGAAAAAAGTGGTCATTTAACAGCTTATGAACTTTTAGTATTATTATTATCAATACTAATAATATTATTACTATTGTTGTTGTAAAATAAGTTAATAATATAATTTTAATTTTCAATCATTCTTGTTATGAGCAGAGTATTACCAGTTCTGTAAATGAGGAAGTGACGAGACTGTCTGTGCTCACGTGACTGTCCAGATTTAAATTTCTTTAGGGACATGAGTAGCCAGGCTCAAATTTAGATTTAAGCAAGAAAGTCTTAACAACAACATACACATTTCAGAGAAGACAAGCTGTTCATAAACATCCTGCTGATTTTTTTAACTAATTCTAGAATCATATTTTGAAATCCTTGTTAGAAGCTGACATATGACTTTTGAAAAATAGCAAGAAATTTGTGAACTATGATGTCAGCCAAATGAAGCTGTTAATCTGCCAAAACCCTTCAGTTTTACAGCTTTTATTGATATTTGGATGTGGCATCATCAGCCAATATCAGGTTTTACCTAGCCCTAGCACACGCACATATGCTGCATGGAAGTGTGGAACATGGGCCTTGAATTTGGCTGTTTTAAAATCTTACTTTAGAGTAGTTTGTGAGTCTGATACCAAACACTAAAAACTAACTGCGTTAGTTTTAGCTTGCAGGCATGAAGAAAGCTATATACTATGCAAGCTAGATTAATGATTTTTTGATAGCTTTATCTTTTGAAAGATAGTACTGATATGTTCAGGTAGACAGCTTAGAATGCTGTCAGGAAGTTACTTGCTGAACTTGTGCAAATGCAATTCAGTCTGTACTTTTTGATTGGCAAACTTTACATGATTCTGACTTTTTATTTTATGGTCACTGCAACCTTTAAAGATGGCTCTTGTTTCCTTTCCACATCCGTCAGTTCAGCTATTAAAGTTTTTTAAGGATAATATTAAAATTAGATTAGGAATTTGAGTATTTCATATATGAAATCCAAACAAATAGCTATGTATCTGAACTGTTCTGGGTTTGAGTGAAACCTGAAAGATCTCTTTAAGATTTGGGGAAGGTAGCTTGAAAATAT